TATGACATACAACTATCTACTGGGACTTTGGGGAGAAAAAGGGAAAAAAAGGAGGAGGATTGGCAATAGATGTTAGCTCAGGGCCGGTCTTCCTCAGCAAAAAGAGGAGGATTGGCATGGATGTTAGCTCAGGGGTGATCTTCCTCACACACACACAAAAAAATGCTAAAATTATAAAATTATTAGAAGAAAGTAAATCTTTACAGAGAAGCCGTAAATCTTTGTGACTTTGAATTAGGCAATGATTTATTAGACATGACACCAAAAGCACAGTGACAAAAGAAGAGATAAATAAGACCTTATCAAAGTTTTAAAAAACCTTTGTGTTTTTCAAAGGACATCATCAAGAAAGTGAAAAGGCAGCCCACAGAATGGGAGAAAATTTTTGCAAATCATATATGTAATGAGGGACTTGTATCCAAAATATATAAAGAACTTCTTACAAATGAACAATAAAAAAGACAAATAATCCAATTTAAAGATAGGCAAAATATCTGAAAAGACCATTCTCCAAAAAAGATATACAAATAGCCAATAAACACATGAAAAGAAGTTCAACATCATTAGTCATTAGGGGAATGCAAATCAAAACTACAATGAGGGGCCAGCCCAGTGGCATAATGGTTAGGCTCGCGCATTCCACTTCAGTGGCCCAGGGTTCACCGATTTGGGTCTTGGGCATGAACCTACTCACCACTCATCAAGCCATGCTAAGGCTGCATCCCACATAGAAGAGCTACAGCTCTGCAACTATGATATACAACTATGTACTGGGGCTTTGGGAAGAAAAATGAAAACAAGACGAAGATTGGCAACAGATGTTAGTACAGGGTCAATTTTCCTCAAAAAAAAAAAAAAAAAAACTACAATGAGATACCACTTTATACTCACCAGAATGGCTAAAATAAAAAAAGATAGATAATAATAAGTGTTGGTAAGGATGTGGAACTCTCATCCATTGCTGTTGGGATTGTAAAATGGTGCAGTCACTTTGGAAAACAGTTTGTTGGTTCTTCAAAAGGTTAAGCATAGAGTCACCATGTGACCCAGCAACTCTACTCCTAGGTATATAGTCAAGAGAATTGACACATATGTTTAAAAATGTTCATAGTAACACTACTCATAATAGTTAAAAAGTGAAAACAATCCAAATGTCCATCAGCTTATGAGTGGACAAATGAAATGTAGTATATCCTTATAATGGAATATTATGCAGGAATGGATTCATGCTACAACGTGAATGAATCTTGAAAACATTATGCTAAGTGGTAGACGCCAAACACGAAAAGCCACATACTTTATGATTCCATTTATATGAAATGTCCAAAATAGGCAAATGCACATACACAGAAATTAATTAGTGGTTGCCAGAGGCTGGGGGGAGTAGGAAAAGGGAGAAAGGGAGTAACTCCTAAAGGGTAAGGTGTTTTTTTTTGGGTGGGGGGCTGATGAAAATATTCTGCAATCAGATAGTGGTGATGGCTGTACAACTCTGTGAATATACTAAAAATTACTGAATTATACACATTAAAAATGTGAATTTTCTGGGATGTCAATTACATCTCAATTAAGCTGTTAAAAAAATAGGCACTCCTTCCTCTGGGATTTCACCTGCAGCCCCACGTGAGGGTAGGGCTTGGCACAGAATACAGGTTATATTTCAGGCCTCACTCACTCCTTCTGTGTGAGTCCTGCTTATTAGACAAGAAATTCCGGGGCTAACATTGATCATCACTCAGACCTGACTTTTTTCTGGAAGACTTCCATCCAGCCATTGGTAAGGTAGGAAGGAAGTAAAGAGAGTGAAAAGGACAAAGACACCCACCGTGCCACATCTATTAAAAGTTCAGCAAACAATGTAGAAATGAGAAAGATAAATGCTTTATTATTTTAAAGGAACTAAGATCTCCTAATCTTTTTCTGATGATGAATGCTACATTATTCCTGAAAAATGACTCCAATATACATTTACAAAGTTGTAGTGTAAAAATGTATTTAACTATTTGCTTGACTATTTAAAAAATTGCTTCTCTCCTATAAAATTTGTTTGATTCTCATTAAGCTTTTATTTCTGATGCGTTGTAGCTTAAAAAACAACTTGTACTTTTGCTTTCTTTATCCCATATTTTATAAGTGGTTATCCATGGCAAAGAATTTTACTATGACTCTTATGATTGTTCTAGGGAAATGTGGATATAATATTTTAAATATTTAAAGAAAAATATGGTAAAGTTTTAGTGATAGCAAAGGTAAGATTTAAAAGACTTTTTTTGTCAATAGTGAAAAAATGTTTCTTAACAAAGTCTTTTGAGAAAAGTTTAAAACAACAAATAAATGTAAACTAACCCACAAATTAAAATGTAGCAAGGTTGTCACAAATGAAGATTTTAGACCAAAGCTTTGCCCTAGATGAAATTATTTAACCAGCTGAAATTTGTCTTTGTTGTTCTCTTGCCTCTATATTTGCTCATTTTGTGGTGAACGTCTCAGTCGTCGGAATGTGGATGTCTTTGGATCATGTTGAAATATGTGACTCTTAGCTGGGTATGAGTCTCAAGCAGAGAAGAGCAGTGTCAGATGATGCCGATTAGGAAACTCACAGCCAGGACTTAGGAAAAACTACCACTGATTCTAAAGCCAAATGACCCGATGCTTGGAAAACACAAAGCAAAAATTTAGCTCACAATTTATAAGAACAATGTAGAAAATCTAATCTAGTCATGTCTGGGCCTAAGATAAGTTTAGTTTAAGCTCTGATTGATATGGATTATTGAAAAAGGAGTGGAACTAAATCTAGGTTTTTGTGTCCTTAAATCTTTGTAGTGGACTTTATGGCTTTAATAAATAATTCTTTTTGTTTCTTGAAGAAAATTTTAGAAAATATATGGTTCTATTTTCTGCCTCCATTAAATAGAAAGATCCTTTGTCCAATGTTCAAGGCATTCACCACCACTTGGCAGCATAGTACCCTAAGTTCAGACTTTTCGAGGAATTTTAATACTTTTCCTGAGAGTTAAATCTGCAAATCTAAATATGCGAAATGACTTTTTAAAAAAAGAAAAGAAAAATACATAAAAGAAACAGCCTAAGTTTAGTGGATATTAACTAGATGGATGTTAACTAGACATTGTGGTGATCATTTCACAATATATGCAAATTTTGAATCATTATGTTACACATCTGAAACTAGTATAATGTTATATGTCAATTATATCTCAATTAAAAAAAAAAGAAACAGACTAAGTTTAGAAGGATTTAGAAGATATATTTTTTAACATTCTTGGTTTAATTATAGGTAACTCAATTCTACGGGAAAGAAAAGCAGTATACCAATCTTCTGAGCTACGTGGATTTCTATGTTATGCCGCTGGTTAATGTGGATGGTTATGACTACACATGGAAAAAGGTAAGTGAAGGCAAAGAAAACAAAATATACCCTCTTTCGGGATACAGGATACACAGGCTGTATTATTCATAGAATCCTGGATCCTGGCACAATGGTTTTGTCACTGAACCAGGTTCATTTTTGCCGGTGGCCTGGAAAGCCAAACACCGAGACAACGAGATTGCAGCAGAGAGATGGTTTTAATCATAAGGCAGCCAAGTGAGCAAATGGGAGAATGAATCTCAAATCTGCCTCCCCGAAAATGGGAGCTCAGGGATATTTATGGGGTAGGGGGACAAGGTGGTCTGAAATGTGGAGATAGATGATTGGAGGTGAGGAGAGGTGAGGTAATTGATGATCTGCACAAGTGTAGTCAAACTTCACCCCTCTTCATAGGACACATGATCACAAAATTGTGGCATTAGCGTGATCTGAGGGTAGAGTTTTTAGCCACTTGATGTCAAAAGGTCACTTATCGGGCATCTGCGTGAGCCTAGTTGATGGGTTGGTGGTCTCAACCAGCCTGAACTGGACAAGGGGGTCCTAATTCCTGAAAAAAAGCTCAAACACCCATTACCATGGTGACTCAGGCACCAGGGAGATGTTATCTATAGGAATCTAGTGAGAGTCAAATGGCATATTTCTTAAGCAGCACCATTAACAATGGGTGGGCAAACAACTAAAAGCTATAATCAGTAATTGCAAAAAAGAAAAAAACTTCAGTTACTAGCTACCTAATCTTCAAGGGCTGTTTATCAGTTTTAGTTTTATTATGGAAAAAATATTTTTTAAACTCTTATTATGGAAAAGTTCAAACATATATAAGAGTGGAAATAGTCGTGTAGTCAACTCCTACGTACTCATCACACAGCTCCAACAATAATCACTTCATGGCCAATCTTTTTTCACCTATATTCCCTACCCATTTCTACCTTACCCGTACTATTTTGAAGCAAATCTCAGACACTATATTATTTCATTGATAGATATTTCAGGATGCATCTCTAAAAGAGGTCTTTTAAAAAATTAACCACAGTACAATTATACTTAAAAATAAACAATAATTACTTAATAACATAAAATTTCCAATCAGTATTTAAATTTCCAACTGTATCATAACTTTTTTAAAAGTTTATTTCTTTGATTCAGCATCTAAATAAGGCTAATATGTTGTGATTGGTTTATATGTCTTTTAATTTTATTTTAATCCATAGATTCTCCCTCCATCTCTCTCTCTCTCGCTCTCTTTCTCTTTTTTTCCTTGCAATTTTTTCATTGAAGAAAAGAGTTTCCCATTGTCTGGGTTTGCTAATTGCATTGCCATGTTGCAATTCAATATGTTCCTCTGTCCTCTGTATTTTCTAAAACTTGATATTTGTATTGTAGAAGCTTAATCAGATTCAGGTTTGACTTTTTTGGTAAGACTTTTTCATTGGGGTAGTGTTTTCTCCCAACAGGAAGCGCATAATGTCTGGTTGTATCTCTTTTTGTGATGTTAGCTACCACTGATGCACAATGCCTAGATCTACTCATTCTTACTAGGAATCATTTGAATAGCATTTTGATTTGTAAAATCATGAATTGCAAGAATTAGAATAGCATTCTAACCGAACCTGCATTCTAACAGATATGAAATTTAAACCTTAGTACCCTTTCACTCAATCAGGAACATAAGTTTGAGTATCACAGTCAATCTCATCTATACTGGAAACCATTATCAATGGTATTTCTAGTCAATCAACTTCATGATTCTTGTAAAATTACTCAAGCAATATGAAGTACAATTCTTTATAGTTTAATGAGAAGCACATAAAATCATAGTTGAGTACATAAAGTTCTGAAAAACCTACTTGAGTAGCACATACAAACACTAAGGGGAATGAAAATAATGGCAATGATTGGAAACATATGGAATTATACAGGAATTATTTCATGTAGGAGGTAATTTAAGCAGAAGAGATGGGAATGGTGAAGAAGCTTGATGAAAAAGTCATCTCAGGTGAGAGGAATACTGTGAATAAAAGTTTGTAGGTAGGAATGGGCAAATCCTGAACTAAGTAAATGAGAAACACCTAGCATAGTACCTAATGCAAATTTGGTGTTCAGTAAATGGTCACATTTTAGATTGATATTAAAATAAAGGTATGCCTTCACCTGAATCACAGTGGAATTCAGCCACACTTTAGATAGTCCTACTCCCCGACTGTCCTTCGTGTCATAACTCTGCCAGTTAGTCCCTGCAGTTTGAGAACCTGAGTTCCCCAGGACAACCGTTGCTTCCAAACCACAGGCCTGGGATTGGAAGTGGACTGGGAGGCTTGGCAGAAGCGTCGGTGGGAGTAGGGGTAAAGGTGCCGTATTATCCGAACCCCAGAACTTAAACAAAGTCCATGCAACTGTTTACGTGATCAAGTTTCCAGTTTACCCCAAGAATCAGTGGGGCATTTGCTTTATGTGTCAAAATCAGAGTCGAATCAGAACAATCAAAGGAGCCATCAGGCTAGAGGCGTCTTCACAGCTCTACTTCCTGTAGCTTTAAAATGAGAGTATTGAACTCAGTCTAAAGAGAGCACTGAAATTCATGACTCAACAATATTGTATTACATTCGTCAAGCTTGCTAGGAGACCTGACCTTCATTATTCCCACCACAAAAAAGAAATAGTAATTATGTGGTGTGATGGAAGTGCCAACTATCACTACAATGGCAATCATGTTACAATATATAAATATATCAAATCAATACGTCACACACACTAAATTTACACAATATTATATGTCAAATATGTTTCAATCAAAACAAAGAAACTCATAGTTTTAATTTGAGTTGAAACAATTATTTTACTTTTATAGAAGGAACTCAAAATGATGATGCATTAAATTAATTTAAAGGAAACAAGACCAAACAAGAAGCCCAATACGCAGCCCAGCAAAAGCCAATGAAAGTCTTATTTGTATAGGTCAAAACTCATCAGATGTTACCATTTCATTGGGTTCAAAATGAAACCGTTTGAGCGTACCTGATTGAGACCTGGATAGAAACAGAGGCTGTGTGAAAGGAATGTGGTGAAGACAGTGACAGGACGAAGCGATGGGGTCGGAGGAGAGAAACACAACGCTAGCTACTCAGCTGTGTCTTTCGTTGAACCGCAAACATGGCCACCCTGGTTATCTGTATTTTGTTTATTTAGAATCGAATGTGGAGAAAGAACCGTTCTTTTCATGAAAACAATCCTTGCATCGGAACAGACCTGAACAGGAACTTTGCTTCCAAACACTGGTGTGGTAGGTTGTCTGCTTTATTTATAGTAATGTGTCTTCATTAAAAAGGTGATATTCATAAAGAAAGGCCGTTAATTCAAACTAATTAGAGGGGAGGCCTACCTGAATCAGGAAATAATTTAAGTAATAAATTTTCTAGTTAAATGTAATGCTATGAATGTTGACTAGAATCAGCAAATCACCTTAACCTTCCCTCCCTGCCGTTTCCATATCTTTAAAAGAAGGAAGTTGGACCAGTTCTCCAAGGTCCCTTATAGCTTCAAAATTCTAAAATTTTATTTTTCTAGAATAATAACAAAGTGACCGCTAAATTTCTTGCTTTCATAAATAAATAACATTCATCATTAGGATATCAAAGACCAGAGCTGGTTGGGCACCTCTCATTTTCAGTTGCATAGGTAAATGTTTACTTTTACAGTTTGAAAACATTTTGTTTTGTGTTCACTGTTCACTTTCTTAACAAGTCCTTTCTTTCATGAAGCTCATAAAGATAAACTTATGTCTGGCACAGTGGGAGTTTATCATTCCCTGATTTGAATGAGTTAAGGTACCCAGTGAATATTGATTTAAGCATTCAAGAACATTGTCTGCTCTCAGGTAGGTAGGTGTTAGTTCACCTTCCTCCCTCCCATTATATTTCATAATTACTATATTTAGGAAACAGCTACAAAACAAAGCTAAACTTGACAATGAGCTTGAATCATTTATATTTTCGGAAGTGGGCGCACATGCCTCTGCAGGGACTACAAGGGAGCAAAGCTGTTGAAACCACAGAAACACTCTTTTCTTCCCACTCCTTTGCCCTCCGTAATCCTATGTACATGATCTTCCATATTTCCTTCAAAAAAGAAGTGAAATTTAGTGATTTGAAACATTTCATCATTATCCCAGAATACATACGAAAACCTCACAACAGAGTATTTACTTTATTTCCTTTGTCTTCTAGGTTAGAACCTCCATGTGAGGTCAGGGACCATTACCTAGTGCAGTGCCTGGCACATGGAAGGGTCTCAGAAAATATCAATTAAATGAATACGTGAATGAAATTAGTTGTTCTAAGAGAGCTACAGATGTAGTAGGAATGCAGAGGAAGGAGCAGTTAATCCTCCCTCTGGCTCAAGGGAATCACTTAGTGGTTTCTCTGTAAGAGCCATCCTTAAGATTGTCCAATAAAAGTGCCCACTGAGACCCAAAGGCTGCCGTGGCAGTGATCACTGGGCAGGGAGTCAGAGAAGCGGCAGCTAATGTAAAACAGATCTGAATAAACAGAGTGGACAGTTACTAAGTACTGAGCAGTTTACATATTTCATCTCCTAGGTTTCATTATCTACATATCACGGATGGAGAAACTCAGACTTTAAAAGGTTAAGTCCCTTGCTCAAGAGCACAGAGCTAGGAAGTAGCAGAGCTGGGATATAAACCCAGCTGACTGACTACAAATTTATTGCAATTTTTCCACGTCTGACAATCACACTTCAGTTATAAGTTCTCTTTTGAAACTTCTTATTTTATCCTCGAGCTCTTTTGGTGCTCTATTTTACTTAATACTTTTCATGGTGAAGCCAGTGTTACCTAATTTGAATAGCCGAGTAGTCAAAATATATTGTTATTACCATCAAGATATATGGCAGCCCCTCTTAGGCATGGCACTGTATCATTACATATCACAAGAGTTAAAAACAGAAACAGAAGCAACAAGCATAGAATAAAGAATTCCAAATAAAACCAGAAGTAATTGAAAGGACTGTTTTTTTTTACCAAGTGCCCCAGCATCTCTTCAGTACTATGTAAGCAGGCCAGCGAGAAAGAAGAATGAAACCTTATCTCTTCCTTGTCCCTATAACTACAGTGTGCCTTTGTGATACTTTGTAAAAGATCTAAAAGAGCATCTCACTTATTAAATAGGAGTGACATATCAAGCTTACTTATTTATTTTATGTTCATTTTACCCTTCCTCTGTATTAAAATTGTGTGTGTGGGGGGGGGATGGGAATGGGGGTGGGCGTGTCTTAGTCAGCCAGGGCTGCCTTAACAAAATATCACAGACTGGGTGGCTTAAACAAGAGAAATTTATTTCTTGCAGCTCTGGAGACTGGAAGTCCAAGATCAAGGTGTCAGAAGGGTGGGTTTCCCCTGAGGCTTGTCTCCTTGGCTTGCAGATGGCCACCTTCCCCTTGTGTCCTCACATGGCCTTTTCTCTGTGTGCACACATCCCTGGTGTCTCTCTCTCTTCTTATAAGGATACCAGCCATATTAGATCAGGGCCCCACCCTTATGCCTTCATTAAACCTTGATTACCTCCTTAAGGTCTCTATCTCCAAATATAGCACATTGTAGGTTAGGGTTTGAACGTATGAATTTGGGGACGACAGAATTCAGTCCATAACGGGGGCATTTCGTGAGGACCTCTGGTCTCAAATTTCCTGACAAGCTCCATTCATTTTCTAAAATGTTAAGTTTAACTACAAAGTTTTTGCAACTGGTACACAGTGGAAAATGCTTTATTTCTTTTCCTACGAGACCATAGTGGTTTTTTAAAATTATTATTTTGTTGTGGTAAAATAAATGTAATATAAAATTTGCCATTTTAACCATTTTAAAAATGTGCAATTCGGTGGCATTAAGTACATTCAAAACGTTGTGCAACCATCACTAATATCCATTTCCAAAGCTTTTGATTATCTCAAACAGAAACTTTGTAACCATTAAGCAGTTATCTCCTCATTTCCCACTCACCCCAGCCTCTGGTAATTTCTAATCTACCGTCTGTCTCTATGAATTTGCCTATTCCAGATACTTTTTGATTCCATGTGCATAGATCAAAGAATGCTCGAGCTTGAAGGGACCTGGTAGACCAACTACCTCTTGATTTAGATGAAGTGCCTTAGGCTGAGAGAGAGATGAAGTAGTTTGCCCAGATTAACATGCCTGCTTAATGGCAAAGCAGAGTCTCAAACTCAAGTTTCCCGACTCTGCCTGGCTCTTTCCACCACAATGCTAGAAATCACTAGAATGAGAATCACGGAATGAGAATCTGAAGCTATGCTGTCCACTACAGTAGCCACTAGCCACATGTGGCCATTGAGCACTTAAAATGTGGCTTGTCTGAATTGAAATGTGAGTGTAAAATACACACCAGATTTCAAAGACTTAGTGTGAAAAAAAATCTCATGAATAATTTTTATATTATTTATATTTGAAATGATAATACTTTGTACATATTGGCTTAAATTATATTATTAAAATTAGTTTCACCTGTTTCTTTTTTTAAAGTGATTACTTGAAAGGTTAAAATAAATATATGGCTTGCATTCTATTTTCACTCAAGAGCTCTGGTCTGAGCACTCACATTAGGTTATCACCTCTCTCTTCAACTCTTTCACGTCCTCCCCCACCTCTACCCCCAACATATAGTCTCTGTTCTCTAGAACTATATTTCAGAGGAAAAAGGCCAAGAGTATTCAAAGGTGACTGAACTATCAAAAATGGTTTGCCCAATCACATTATTGGTTAAAAATTAAAACAAATAAAATGCTTGAAAAGGCCTTGGGTATTCAGCACAATATTTCCTTGTGGGAAAGAGAATGTTTAACAAACATTAAGGTTGTTTCTGCTGCAAATAGCAGGAAGAAAACAGAGCAAGCTTAAGTCAGAAAGGCAAGCTCTGTAAGGATAATGGAGTGGCCCATGAAACCCAAGGACAGGGATGCAGGCAGGACTCAGAAACAGACTGGAACTGGGCCTGCAGCTCTGTAGGTGCACTGAGTCCTTTCTCTCCCCATCTCGTCTCTGTGATGCACACTGGCTTTTTTTGGGTCCCAATCCACATGATGGTGATGATGATGACAACAGCAATGATAAACAACAGTTACTGAACACTTAGTATACGCCAGGCACTGTGCGAAGCACTTTAAATGCATTCACTCACTGAATTCTCATTAAATCCTCATTTAATGTATAATTTTTCCATTTAGCAGATAAGGAAATTGATGTATAGATAGGTTTAAAAAAAGTTACCCAAGGCCGTATAGCTATGAAATGGTAAAGCCAAGATTAGAATCAAGTGATTGGGTGATTAACAATATGCCACGTAGCCTCTTATTGTAAAGGATGGTTACCACCAAGAGTGTCCAATTTGCATCTCCTAAAATAACAGTATTTAATTCATAGGGTTGGTGTGAGGATTAAATGAGATATTGCGTGTAAATCTTAGCAGAGTTCCTGATCTATAGCATGTGCTGTGTGCTATTGCTTTTATCTTCTTTGTTCAAGAGAGCAGCTGGACTGAGAGAGTAGAATTTTTGTCCAGATTTCAAGTTATCAGTGGAGGGATTTGGATTGGTAGAACACAAGTTAAGGACACAATTCAGGACTAATCAACTGTTTCCAGGAGGGAATAATCTTTTCAGTCAGAGGTGGCTCCCTGGGGCTCCACCCCTGTGAATTAGGGACAGAAAGGAGAAGTGTTGGAAGGCAGACTACCATCTGAAGTGATGTATACTATAATCTCTCAAAGGAATGAATAAACATTACTCTGGCACCAAATATCACCATCCTATTTTATTTAGTAAGCCACTTTAGCAAGTTAGATGTAGCACTAAAGGCTAACTTCTATCTTTGAGTTCCCAAATGAGAATTTTCTTTTATGAGCTATGTTGATTCGTAATTTTTTAACTACATATATCAGAAAAACCAAATTCACAATGAGTTAAAGAGAATGGTGTATATTTTTCTCAAATAACCACAAGTTTGAAGGTGGGGCTGGCATCTCTGAGACTTGCTTGGCCACTTTCTCAAGGTTGCAAGATGGCTGCCTCCATCTCAAGCAACAGTTGGAGTGTCTGCTATGAGCGCATATAAATATCTGACTTCAAAAGAAACATAAGCAACATTTAGTGCACATCAGAAATATGTTCTTTACAGAGCTCAGTCTAATCCGTTTATCTCAAAATGTTACACCATAGATGTTAGAAGAATACATTGTCAGGGAAATCACAAATTACAACAGTAGGTGCATCACCTCATAACTCCACTCTATCAATTTCACTACAGAGGAAGGTGCATCAAGTTTCTCGTGCTCAGAAACCTACTGTGGACCTTACCCTGAGTCGGAACCAGAAGTGAAGGCAGTGGCTGATTTCTTGAGAAGAAATATCAACCACATTAAAGCTTACATCAGTATACATTCTTACTCCCAGAAGATAGTGTTTCCATATTCCTATAATAGGAGCAGAAGCAAAGACCACGAGGAACTGGTAAGTACTGCTTAATTATTTTTCTTGTTAACATTTTGGAAGTAAAATAATATTTAGTTCAAGATCAAAAACTGTGGGGAAAAATTTCTCCTCTAGAGGACAAATGGAAAGATGCTTTATATTTTCATCTAACTCTAGTGCGAGTGCCCCTGGGTCAGGGTTCAGGTAAAGAACAGGGCTTTACCCTGAGGACATGAACTTTAGTCCAGCAGATGGGCTCCTAAGAAAATGTCAGACAAGCTCCCTGAAAGTCAGAAAGGAACTGTTCCACTTAGACCTGATCTACATATGAAACCGTCTGAGCAAGGACAAGGATAAGAGTCTCTGGAATTGTGGGTCTGCCGTGTGGTCGCCAGCTTTCTCTGACAGCCCTCCACAGAAAAAGCCACAGCACAACACTCATCAATTTGATACTAGCAGGAATTCTTTACATGCTGACCTCCCTAACCCCAGGGGTTTGGTCCTATTAAAAGCACCTCTGATTTCAGCATTGAGGCAAGAGCCTCCTCCCCACCACTCCTTTTTTTTTCAGAATGTGGTGGACAATATAGGAAGTTCAAAGAGGACTCACACAGTCTGCGATCCCCTCACCACTGTTTGGTCCCAAATGCTCTGGGTTGATCGCAAAAGATGCAAGGATTCTTGATGGATTGTGGCTAGGCTTGGCCAAATCCTTATCCCAGATGCTTTCCAGACAATGGTAGTATTAGGGCAACAGTTTGATTCTTGTCCAAGGTCTGATCTTTATGTAGTGGTTTGTTTCTTACTGGCTCACTTTGTTCTGGTTCTCGTAACAGAATAAACTACAGCCACATTAGGGCTTAGCAATTGCTGATGACAAATATACGGTTATTTGCATTTTCTGAAAATAGCTCATTTAGAACATAAACATACTTGACACTTGCAATTCTTTTTTCTTCTCAAGAAAAAACTTTTAAGGACAGCTCCTTTATTGGTGTTATCTTTGAAGAAATGAAAAGATATTTATCATGATTTGGAAATAGAATTAGTCTGATTTTGCCTTATTTTTGGATTATTATCACAAGCATTTGCTGAGAGTTATTACATGTAAAATACTGTGTTGGATGGACACTGAAAGAAACATTAGGTGGGCCCTGCCCTTTAAGAGAATATGATATGGTTAGGAAGCTCAGCCATTAGCAAATGTTACAAATAGCTGTACTCCAAGGTAGAGTAATTACTGAATAAGTGGCACAGACGGTAGAACTCACTTCTGACTGGGATAGCAAGGAGTGCCTCATTAATTGATTCAGAAGGAAATGCTGAGGTAAATGAGGTGATAAAGTCCTTGTTCTTTAGGAATTTATCATCTATTAAGGGTGACATATTGTAAAGAAAAAGGTATGATAAAGTGCTATTGACATTAAGGAAAAAATACCATTTCACCAGACATTGAAAGATAGGATTTCTATAGGTGGGCAGGGAAGGGAGGACATTCCAAGCTGAGAAAATGGCATTCCCCACAGGAAGTATGTTCAGGGGACTGTGAGGGTGGGAAAGTGGAGGGTGACACCATCAGAAAGTGGATGAATTCAGCTTGTTTGAATGTCAGAATAAAGTTGCATTTTATTCTGTAGACAATGGGCTTCCATTAAAACTTTTTTTTTCTAACAAAGGAATGGCACAACATAATATTGTTAGCCACTGATATTCTTCTGGGTTATTCAAGAGAGTGACAATGAATACTGTGATCCTAGTTCAACTTCAGAAAATATCTGGGTAAGCTAGAAACAAATGTAGTGGAACAGGGGACTTAGTTATTATCCTGCTCCATATCGGGGACGTAATCTTTTTTATTTGATGAGTCTTTTCAAGTTAGACATTTTACACAAGAAGAAAATAGAATCTGCGAGAAAGGAATCATGCATGCATTAGGTAGATGTATTATTTCGAGAAACTGGATTTAAAGTTTGGTGGTAATTTTGTCTAGGAATAGGATAACCCCAAGTTGTTTGCCTTTGAAATATAGTTATACTTCATTTTATATGATAAATGAATTTCTAAAAAAAGCATGTGAGAATTATTTTTTCTTCACAATAAATAAAATTTTCAATGTATTAGAAGAGTCTATATTTAAAGCCACCCAATTGTGATTTCCATAAAGCAAAAAAAATTCTTTTAAGTTAATTTATTCTTCTTAATATATCTTTTGGACAAATGCAGATTTTTCATATATACAGTTTTCTTTCTTCCTTTTTTTTTTTTTTTTGTGAGGAAGATCAGCCGTGAGCTAACATCCATGCCAATCCTCCTCTTTTTTTGCTGAGGAAGACTGGCCCTGAGCTAACATCCATGCCAATCTTCCTCCACTTTATGTGGGACGCCACCACAGCATGGCCTGACAAGCGGTGCATTGGTGCGCGCACGGGATCTGAACCTGGGCCGCCAGCATCGAAGTGTGCACACTTAATCACTATGCCATGGGGCCGGCCCCAACATATATACAGTTTTTTTCCAGCTTTATTGGGATGTAATTAACATATAAAATTGTGTAAGTTTAAAGTGTACAATGTGATGATTTGATACACATATATATTGTGAAATGACTACCAAAATAAAGTTAGTTAACACATCCATCACCTCACATAATTACAATTTTTCAAGTATATAGTACAAAATTGTTAACTATAGTCACCATGCTGTATACTAGATCCCCAGAACTTATTCATCTTATAACTGGAAGTTTGTACCCTTTGACCGGCATGTCCCCATTTCCCCCACCCCCCAGACTCTCGTACCACCATTCTACTCTCTGTTTCTTCATACATGCAGTTTAATATATGATTGATTTTTTTTTAGAAACTTCTACCTGTCCTGTCTCAAAGCTACACATTAACTGAAATTTCATATCCTGTTGATTTCAGTCTCTAGTGGCCCGTGAAGCAGTCCATGCTATTGCAATTACTAGTAGAAATATCAGATATACACATGGCAGTGGTTCAGAAAGTTTATGTAAGTATTTCTTCTTAAGATCTTGGAGAACTGTGAGGTACTAAAGAAATCTGTGTGTTTGGTTTTTCTGTGTGGATTTAATTTTTCTAAATGGAATCTTTAAACAAGGTCACATGTAAAACAATTGTATTATAACAATTAGAAATGGAAGCATAATAACTATGACAGTGCTGAACGAGGCTATATTAATAAATGAATATACTAAAAAGAAGCCAAAATGATATTTAAGAAATTATGTTCATTACTATAGAGTAGGGTTATAGAATTGGCATCACACTAGGTTAAAGCAGAAAAGTTCATAAAGGGTCAGAAGAACGTGTAAGATGCCCGGGCGACCATGTAAGGTTGTGCAGGTTGAACACTATACAAATCTAGGGAACACCACTTACATCAGATGCTTTTTAGTGACAGCCTGTGTCCAAGAGTATAGATCATACTACACTGTTGTTGATTGTCTTCTGTTTGTATCACACTGATGAGAACATGTATGTGGCAAACTCTTAACAAATATTTCAAATGAATTTCTGCTGGAAGATATTTAGTGAAGGACACCTTTGTACCCACAGTGGGATGACAGACAGTAATTTTGCTCTTTTGTAGCTGGAGGGGGAGATGGGAGAACAGAAACAGAAAATAAACATGTAACCAGGTGTCAGCAAACTATGACCACAGGCCAAATTCAGCCCACTGCCTGTTTTTGTATAGCCTGTGAGCTAAGAATGGTTTTTCTATTATTTAAATGGTTGAAAAAAATTAAAAGAAGAGTAAGACTTTGTGACATGTGAAAATTATATGAAATTCAAATTTCAGTATCCATAAATAAAGTTTTTTTGAACATCCATTCCTTTGCATATTTTTTATAATAGCTTTCATGAGAGCAGAGTTGAGTAGTTGTGACATAGCCTATGTGGCCCACAAAGCCTAAAATATTTACTGTCTGGTTCTTTACAGGAAAAATTTCCTGATCTCTGATATAAATAATTAAATAGTAAAATTTAATATACTCCCATTGATAAGTGAAGAAATCGGCTTATGGGTTTGAGAATGACTGTAGGAGAGAGAAGGCTACTTAGCTAAAGTGGCCCAGGAAGGTCTCTCTCTGTAGGTGACATTTCTGGGAGACCTACTTGGTAAGTGGTTGCCAAAAAAGGTGTAGGGGGAAACCAGGGAGAGGTAATGGCGTGTGAAAATGCCTTGAGACAATACATTCAAAGCCCTGAGTTTCCCTTAGCAGGTATGATCTACAGGGGTATAAAAACACATTCATATTATTTTCAATAAATTGCTTGAGCACCAGATGCCCTATTAGTAGAAAGTCCTCTTCCTCCTCAACCACCCCAAATTGTCTCAGAACAAACTGGGGCCAGACTGGTCTACATGGTGTCTCTGTCTCTTGGTGTCACTGGTCCACTGCTGCCTTTGCTGACCCAGGTCCTCTCTCTGTCACAGAAGAATCCCACAATTGCCTTTCATAGTTCAGAGCTTTCTTGATTCCCATTCTTTTCTCTACTAGTGTTCCCTAAAGCACGACCATAGTGCCTCAGGGCTGGAGGAGCTTATAGAGCAACTTCCTGTCATGATGAAATCAGTTCATCTCCACACATTCATTCATTCAGTACACATCCGTGTGTATGTGTGAGTAAGCATGGGAAAGTGGCTGGAGGAATAAATGCCAAATATTAACAATGGGTGTCAGAAATATTTGCTGAATGAATGCATAACTTAACTAACCCACTATTGATGGATATTTTTCAATAATATAAACAATGCTTCAGTAAACACCTTTGTAATTAATTCAAGTATAGGTATTAGAAAGAGCCAAAAATGATCACTTTGCATATTATATGATTGTCTACCTAGAAAACAGTAGAAAATCAACCAAAAATATTAGTAAAAATCAAAGAGTTGAGTAAGGTGGCTGACTATGAACTAAATATACACAAATATATAACTTTCTTATATACCAAAAATAATCAGGTAGAAAATAAAATGGAAAAAAGATCCTACTACCCCTCTACATGTATTTATATACACATGCACACATATAGACAAATAAATACACACATATATAGATTCATTGTTAAATGTATATATGTGTGTACACACACAAATCCATATGATCTAAATGAAAAACCTAGAAAATTTTACTGATGTACATAAAAGAAGACAAATAAAAGGAGGAACCTACCATGTTTTTGAGTGGAAAAGCAATATAAAAAATGTGTTAGTGTTCTAAATTAATTTGTATATTTAATGCAATCTCAATGAACACTTAAATGATTTTGAAGTTCATTTGGAAGAATAAATTAATTAGAAGAATAAATTAGTAAAATTCTGAAAAACGACAAATAAGAGAGAATTTGCGCCAACCAGGTATTAAAACACATAAACCTATAGTAATTAAGATTGTGAAACTGAGCCTGGAAGAAACAGATCAATAGAAGGGAGTAGTGAGTACAGAAAGATTCTCAAATATCTAAGGAGGTCTAGTATCTCATAAAGAAGGCGTTTCAACCAGTTAGAATGGTATATTACTCAATTAATAGGGCTAGAAAAACTGACATGTTACCTAGAAAAAACATTTAATTGGATTACTAACATGTTTTTCTCCAAAATAAATTCCAGATATACAAAATATTTTAATATAAAACCTTGCCATAAACCAAGTTGAGGGCTAAATAATGAAATAAGAAAGAAAATTCTCCACATATTATACAGGGCTGATAACCCAAATGTTGCTTTTATAAACAATCTATAAAATGCATCAAGTAGAGAAATGAGCAAAGACAATTGATAAAAAATATTAAAGATGGACAAAAAATATACCAAACAAAATATTCAGGTCAGTGGTAATCAAAGAAACATTAAGTGGATAATTCAATATTATTTTTCACCCATACAATTGCCAGAAATGCATAATTCCCATGGATGGTGTGGGAGGGGCGAGTGGGCTATTCATACCCTGCTAGTGGATGTATAAATTAGTTCAATTCTTTTGAAGGCTATTTGGCAACATGGAGCATAATTGTAAAAAGTACATACGCTTAGACTAGCAAATCTACTTCTAGGAAGGAATATTGTAAAGAAACAAAGAAGCAATTATGTATAAGCAAAGATGTTCATTGTAAAGTTGTTTAATTAGAAATTAGAAAAAATATAAAGGTCTCCAAATAAATAATTATTTAAATTAGTTATATTCAGCTTTACAATGCAATGCTATGAGATCGTTGAAAATAATAATGTAGATTTGAACTCATTAGTACAGAAAGCTGGTCACCATCAATTATGTTTAGAAATGTTACAAAACAGCAGGTATAGGATGGTCTTATTTATGTAGAAAATATTAAGTATGTTAAAGTATGCACCAGGGGAAAAAAAGCACTAGAACGTTAATGGTGATTATCACTCCTTGGTAGGGTTATGGATAATTTTTATTGTTTTCCTTAACCTGTTTTCCTTCAATCTCCATTTTCTACCAGAAACTTAGTAATAATCAGAAAAGAGGAAAGCAATTTTCATTTTTAGGTCAAATATCTCATTTTTCTAGTTAATTTGAACCATCTGCATTTCAAAAAGTAATTTCTTTTTTCTTCTTGTAGACCTAGCTCCTGGAGGTTCGGATGACTGGATCTATGACTTGGGTATCAAATATTCGTTTACAATTGAACTTCGAGATACAGGCAGATTTGGATTCTTGCTGCCAGAGCGTTATATCAAACCCACTTGTACAGAAGCTCTCGCTGCTGTCTCTAAAATAGCTTGGCATGTCGTCAGAAATGTTTAATGCCCTTGATTTTTTCACTCTGCTCTCCTATTTTAATTAACTTATTCCAAGAAGACCAAATCATTGTACCAGTTTCTTTTTAAGTTTTATCAGTAGTTTTGATAAAACGTTTTCCTATTCCTTGGTTTTGTCAAAGAACAAAATAAATGATACTTTAAAATTAAGGCAGACAAGGATTCACATTTTTCCTTGTTTCTTTTTAATTTGTAAGAGGTTAGGTACTGGTTTTTTCTTTGATTCCCAACGTTTTACTAGCCATCTCAAGTAATTTTTTTTTTTTGAGGAAGATTGGCCCTGCGCGTTAGCCAATCTTCCTCTTCTTCTTTTTTCTCCCCAAAGCCCCAGTACATAGCTGTGTATCATAGTCGTAGAGTTATAGCTCTTCTATGTGGGACGCCGCCTCAGCACCGCTTGATAAGCAGTGAGTAGGTCCTCACCCAGGATCCCAACCGCAAACCGGGCTACTGAAGGCAAACTGCGCGAACTTCACTGCTACGCCACCTGGCCGGCCCCCTCAAGCAATTTTAATAACCAGTGTCATGAAGATCATCGGACCCTAAACCGCAAAACGAAACGTGGTCAGAAGTACAGTAAAGATTTCTGCTCCAAATTTTCAATAAATTTCTGCTCGCACTTTTAAAAACACAACCGTGCATTCCGTTTGCTCCACAGTAACAGGCGATGGCCCAGAAAGCCGAGGTGAATCAAAAACAGGATAAACACGGCCGGTCGCCCCAGCTCAGGCGCTCAATCAACATCGTGGAGCGAGTGAACGAATGGCTGTAGTTACTGTCGACAACAAATGTGGCATTGTGCGCCTTTATACAGCTGTGTATTGTAAGAAATTATGTAATAAAAGGAGGAAACTCTTAAATTCACTTTTAATTGGGAATTTTGGCTCTTCCTGCTTCCCGGTTTCCTTCCCAGCGCTCCCTCACAAAGATTTGATGATTTCGACTCCTCGGTGTCGACCCTACCCCCGGGGGGCGTGGCTACGAAGGGGCGGTGCCTGCGCGCTGACGACTAATCCGCCGGCCGGAAGCTGCCTGTGGGCACAGAGGAACAGGGCAAACCTTGACTTCCGGCGGCATCTTGAGGCGATCCTACTACTTAGCGGCCTGGTAGTGTTTTCGTTGCCTTTTATTATCCGCCAGTCTTTCTTCGTCCTTTTTCTTCCTACCTTCCAGTCTCGCTTGACCCTGGCGAAGCGGCGGGCGGGCCCCGCTTCTCAGCCGCCCCGGGGTCCCCTCGCTAGCCGAGGGCCGGTTCCCGGGAGCCGCGCGCGCGCCTCCTTCTCCTCGTCGTCGTCTTCCCGGGGCCAGGCGCGGGGACAGAGAGTCGCCTCCCCCGCTCCTCGGAGCGGTGGCGGCGGTGGCGCCTGCGGACTGTGCTTGCGACGGGAGCTCGGGGAGGAGGTAAGCTTGAATTCTGTGAATTGGTGTGGGTATCGGGGGAAAGGCGTTGGGCGGACCCGGGATGGGGAGGCCCCCCGTTGTCCTCCATCCCCCGCTTGAGTCCCGCCGGGATTTTCAGCTCTCCTTGAGCATCCCACCCTCAACTCTGCAATGGCTCCCTGTGCTCAGGCCTCGTTTCTCGCCCTCGTTCTGATTCTTGCGAGTTTGGATAAGGGAAAGGTGGATTCAGACAAAGGTTGTGCCCAGTTACTACCGTGTGATGTGAGCTTGGGAACCCTTGCGCGGTATTCGCCTTTATATGCGATGGAAAGGTGCAGGAATAGGGCGTTAGATTTAAAGGCTTCCTCTTTACGCGTTCCAGACCTATTAGGAAAAACTATCTTACTTTTGGTTGTATTTGGTCTTATTTATTTCCCAGCAGTGATAACTTAACAACTTAGGTCCTGGGAGTTGAGGAGTGCTACTTTATCTTCACATTCCCTAGGTAGTTACTTTTGGCAACTATGTATCAGACCGGGGAAGGTGGAATGAAAGGAGAGGGTCTGATGTTTGGCATTATCTTTTTCTAAATAGGTTGAAATAATTTATGTGGCTGGAAAATTATTCAGAGTTGATACTACTTGAATGATATTGGTAGGATCTTGTTTGTGGAGCGTAGTGTCAAGATATTCGGTTATATTGCGAGTGTTTCAATAATTTGAACCACTTTGAAAATTAATGGGCGTATGCAGTCTCTCCAGGTTTTTGGTTTTTTGAAGAAATAATTTAAAAAGTTTGGAAAAGATCTTCACACCTCAAGTTTTCAAAGTCCATGATACTGTTGCAGTAAATCCAAATGCTTATGCAGTACAATCCATACCATCCATGCGTATATGGTGACAGTTAGTGTAGTTCGTAATATTTGAAATTACTGCCTTTAGTACCTAAAGCGACAATATTTTGGAGAGTTTTATGGACATCTGTAGATTTTCAAATAATTTCCAATTTCTTAGTGAAACACTTAGATTATAATATGACAGTTTCAACAAGAGACTAAGAATATTGATGCAGGTATGTAACCATTTGTGTCTGTAAAAATAGCTGCACCGTGAAACTAAGACTTTTGCTGTGTGGGTCTGGTAGCATCTAATTTTATCACATACATGCCTCTTACTGGCTTTCTAATTATTGGTGATTTGAAATGAACATTGATTGCATATTTTAAGATATGCAAATTAATCTAATTTTATATCTGTAAATTAAAACTAAAATCCAGTAAGTGGATGCTATGTTAACTTCTGTTCAAGTTAAAATTTTAATGTTATCGGTGTGAATTTGTATTATAATATGCATTGGTATTTACATATAGAAAGCAAAATTGTTTAACTTATATTTATTTGAAGAATTGGTTTTCAGTAGTTGTTAATCTTCCCGACCGCCCGCACCTCCCACACTCCTTTTCATATGGAGTTGGACCTATTTCAGCAGATATTTAGTAGCAGTTGAAACATTAACTGGTGTTGATATATAAAGTGTCTTCTATTCTTTTTTGATAGTTTTGTATGTTGCAGTTCGGTTTACTTTACTTTATAGTAGTTGCCATCATGGGATATTCTCTGTGCATAGTCTTTTTAATAAATTATTTTTTTCTGTACAGTGCTACAGTATTGCCTTGCTCATACCAGTGTAGTCAGTTTAGTTCTGTCAGTTTTGTTGGGAATTCAGTTTGGAACTGTTTTAGTCTTATCTCATATAAGCAATCTGCAAGATTGTTTTAGAAAGTTCTTTTAAAAAAATGCTCCCAGACTATGCATCAAATAAACTTAACTTTTTTCTTTCAAAAATATGAAATATAGGGCCGTCCCGGTGACGCAAGCCGTTAAGTGCGGGCGCTCCGCTGCGGCGGCCCGGGGTTCGCCAGTTCGGATCCCAGGCGTGCACAGACGCACAGCTTGTCGAGCCATGCTGTGGCGACGTCCCATATAAAGTATAGGAAGATAGGCACGGAGGTTAGCTCAGGGCCAATCTTCCTCAGCAAAAAGAGGAGGATTGGCATCGGATGTTAGCTCAGGACTGATCTTCCTCAAAAGAAAAATAAATAAATGAATAAATAAATAAATGAAATATAAATATGAAAATATTTTATTTTTATTTAATGTATATATTTTATAACCCTTATTATTATTTTTTAATACAACTCTTAATTTTAGAACTTCCGTGGATAGGGATTTATTCTACTACCAGTTGGTATATTTATGTAGTCTTAATTGCTTAATTATTTGACAATATCTTAATATTATGCTGCTACTCATTCAGATTAAAGTGGTTTATGCTTTCATTTGTGCTACCAGAAGAGACCTCAAAAAGATGTAATTATGGATTGAAGTGAGAATACTAAAACTGATACATATTTTATTGACAAGATTTTAGTCATTAGGCTTCAGAAATAATTAATTATTCAAAAAGAGGCCCCTGTATGTTTCTCCTTTCTCAGCCATATTTTTGGGTACCCAAGCTTTTGGGTACATTGTGATATTTGTTAAGTTTTAGGAGAGAGAGAGACAGTTCCCATTTGTGAAGACCCTCTTTTGTTGTATCTTACTAGATTCAAACTTTGTGTCTCCCAGGTTTTTTTTTTTTTTTTCCAACTGGAAAAATATAATAAAAACTTCTGGTATTTGTTCACTCTGCCAACAGAGAGGAGAATTAGGAAAATAACTTAATAGACTTTCACCAATGTCACTCTGACTTCAGTAATGCTGGTGTTTGGGAAAGACATGATGATGTGGCTGACAGTGTGATGGCAGCCTAAAGCCAAAGAGTAATTTGAAAGTAAAACTGGAGGGAAAACTTTCAAAGTCTCTGAGCTAGGGAAGACTTTAATATTTACATTTTTATCTAATTTTATTGTTTCTAACTTCTATTATATATTTTGAAGTATTTACTTCATATTGAAGCCTATTCAGATATTAATTGGAAAAGTATTTTCCCTCCTCAGTTAAATCTACATTTTATTTGGTTATGATATTTACCTTCCTTTGTGGGCCCAAATTTTTAGATTGAAAATTCTAATTAAGTCACATTAGTTGGTAACATAGTTTTAAATTAATTAATTAATACATATGAGTAAATGCTTTCTTGGTGTGTTGTGAATTATGTGTATATATTTAGACAAATAGGATTTAAAATATTATATTTTATATTCTTTGTAAGCATAAAGCATTTTATCTATGCAAAATCATGAATGTTTCAGTAATAATATTTAGATAACTTATTGTTGATTACTGATAGAAGTTCCTAGATAGATGATCAGAAGAATTCCTCTTCCTTTCAATTAGAAAACTTCAATTCCTATGTTTTCCCTTTTTGCCTCAGATAGATAAATAGATGGAAGGTTTTTTTGTGTGTTTTTTGGGGGCGGGTCTCCCTGTAACCTAGACCTGCTACTCAAACTCAGTGCCATTTTAGGGTAAGATCTGACACTGTTGGACTCTGAGAAAAGAGGAGTACACATCTTTACTTCATTGCTGTTCTTTCCTAAGTTGGAAAACAGTAGCTAGAGGTAAAATTCCTGGGATCATCATTGTGTAGGTGAATTGTGAGTAGTTCTTGATGTCACCTGTAAAAGCAGCTGTGTCTCTGTGGGAAGGAACTTTTTTTAGTGAATACGAGGAGAAGGGTAAGATTGATTGGATCATTAGTCCTTGCTTGATTGTCTTTGACATAGCAGTGCAAACCCTTGGAAATCTTCAAAGCTTACATTAGGGATC